CCCCAAAACCCCAAAACCCCAAAACCCCAAAACCCCAAATACTTTTATTTTAATTGAATTTATTTTAAGGGTTTGAACGAGGTATATGAGCTATAAGCAGGCGTTAAAGGACGAATCAAAAGGTAAGCCTCACTTATAATTACATAGACAGAAATCGGAACTACAAAAACGATATAGAGATGTTCTCACGAGCTGGCAAGCTCACAGTAAACCAGTACATGGTATTCTCGCCACCAAAGGCCTCTGAACATGCGGAAGAGTGATCCCAAGACCAGTCTCCTTCCTCTATTGAGCCTAGCCAAGGTATCATTCAGTTTTCAGAAGACCCTATGCAAACTACTAAACCTATAATCCACAATTCAACTCTCCCTAAGAAATTTAAAAGGCGCAGGAAGAGAAGGGACAAGAGCCAATGTGATGCAGTATTTAAGTCTATATCACGAGAGAGGAGAAACCAGATACTTGACCCTAAACTCGAGAAGCATAACTTCTCTAGCTACAGAGTTATAGATAAAATTGTAAGCCCTAAAACCCTGGATTTTAACCTCCGAGATGTATTAGAGATAGAAGATATGGTAGGAATTTAGGTTTCGGTATGGATTCTTCTGAGTTAGATACACTGTTTAGTCCCTTTACGTTGCTATATGATTGAACAAAACTTTGGGAACTCGGAAATGGTCATTGGGGTTAAGAAAAGCCTTTAGCCGAGAAGAGGATTATTATCTATGGTGGGAGTTTAGATAATAGATTTTGACCTTTGACTAATAATGAAATTTAAATGATCGTGATCAAAGCTATTTGGTCCGGATTTTTCTAGTCAAACTATTGGTTTTCCAAGCATTGATCGAGTAACTTCTCAAAATATAGCTCTAAGAGCTCTCATAATGGCATTGTTCTTCTACAGATTCCTAAGATATAAATTTCTCTTGTAAGATGCGTGGCTTAATAACTTATCAACCTAGGTTACTAACAGATCTCTCTCAGGGTGACTCCACTCATATCTGGATCTGGGTTATGCCACCAGAATATACTGTATCCTTAAGAGAAATACCTTGTTCATGAAAGAGGAAGGCTCTCATCTTTAGAGTAAAGAAGGAGATAGTATTCGCACCAGCCATCTTTCTCATTATGAGTCAACTAGACTCTGTTTGGTTTTATAGATCGATGGAACTAGCTAAGATCTAATGACTAGTGCTGAATTTGTAGTTGAAGATATTCATATTTTTTATTTACCTCTAGTTAGTGGCTTGGTGTATGCTTATAACACTAAGAAAATTAACAAGAACCTCATGACATATTTTAATCTACAATAGGGAAATAATTGTCCTTCAATAGGGTCCTTTTGTAGGCTTGGCTTTTATTTTAGACCCAAACTATTTTTGAGTAGTTTTAAAATTTCCATACAGGCATAATTAAGGTTCACTTTAACAATAACTATATAGGTAAACCAAAAAGTAGAGATTCCTCATCGGCCTCAAAATAGAGTAGTTAGGATAGGGTCCCCCAAAGATCCCCTCTGAGACAAGCTCATAAAGGTACTTCAGATTGGCAAGCCAGAGACTGACTTCAGCAATATGATCTTTAATCATAGGAAAGCGTAATTTCTTTTCTAACCCATAGTTCGAATAGTATTAAAAATGACAAGAAAAATTTGAATGGTTGTCTAAAATCTGATAAACACATAAATAGTTCAATAGAGGATAATTTAGTTAGAAAAGGCTTTAATGCCTCTTCGGATAGGTCAGAAACCACCCATATCATCTCTACTTGAAAGCATCGAAGGAATAAGGATACTTTAACCAAGAGAGCTCACCTGAATCATTCTTTTAAGCAACCAAATGTTAATAATAAGTGTAAATTGAATATTCTAAGCCAGGATGAGAAATTAGCAACCTTTGCCAAGACAAGCAATAATCGATCTGCTAAATAGGGCCATGGTGAACTTTAGTGCGAACAAATCAGCCTTGCCTCCAAATCTGAGGAGAGAGATTTTATCTAACAGTGAGTCTCCGGAGAAGGAGAATTTTTCGTACAATAATAAAATCCTTAATGATACATATCATTTAATCAAATCTGAAGTATGCCCCTGAATAATTTAGTAGAGATCAAATGGTATGGGAAGACATCAAATAGTCGCCACAAATCAGCACTGACAAGTCCCTAAGGCAAAAGTGTACATAGATTTTTCGAAGAATAAGGGCCGAGGTACATCATTTGGCAATCCCATTACGGCAAACCAGAAGTACGTCCTCTCTCCTTAGCTGTAGCCTGTTCAGTGAAAGGATGAAATCTACTGAGGATTCTTACGATGCTTTGATGGATATTAAATTTAACCCAAAGGTAGGCCATTATCTCATTTCACCTATATTTTAGTACAAATCGAATGTGCCAAACTTTGACTTTCAGAAGAATAAGATCAGGAACACTGAGGAATCATTCAAGCTTAGTTATTACTGCAAAAATAACTATGACATTTCTTCTCAAGGCAGCCAAATGAGGGATCTTGGTGCAGTTATCAAATTTGAAGGGTACTCCAAAAGGCAAGTTTTCTAATTTTTACAATTTTAGGTCATATAAAGGCTCAATTTACCAAAAAGAGCAATCTCCAGAAGCCTGGAACTATGAACAAATCATTATGGCAAAGGATAAGCTTCAGAAAAGGACCAATGCCAACGTGATAGCCTCATTTGATAAGCAGCTGGACAGGAATGTGAAGAAAGTACCCTATAAGAAGAAGAAAGTTATCTCTATTTATCAAACTAGGCCTCGAGAGATCATTGCAGAGGTCATTAATCATGAAGATCATTTAAACTAATTTCAATATTAGAAAAGCTAGAAGGGGTTTTGGGGTTTTGGGGTTTTGGGGTTTTGGGGTTTTGGGGTTTTGGGG